TCTCTCTCTCTCTCTCTCTCTCTCTCTCTCTCTCTCTCTCTCTCTCTCTCTCTCTTTCTCTCTCTCTGTGTGTGTGTGTGTGTGTTTGTGTCTCGCAATTGTGTGAAACGTTGTTCATTCAGTTCGTTAGAATCGTGTATGCAAATGTCCAAGGACAATGATAACGCGGTGCGCATATTGAATTGCAAAATGAAACTCTATCTCTCGCACTTAAAAAAGATATGATGAGGAAAATATGTATGTGTGTGTGTGTGCAATTGCCAGTGCAAATGCGAATATGGATGTTTGTTCCGCGTGCTGTGGGCCCATTGAATGTTACGATGACATAGAAAATGAAAGAGTGTATAGCAAACAAATGAATGAACAATGCTTTTAATATATTATCTGTGTATGTTTTGCATTTTGTGTTTTACGACAGGTTGGTCTAGTGCACCGGATGAGAAGGCTACCAAATATCGTTTAACCATTAAGGACATACAGCAACAAGAATCTGGAACATATACTTGTACATCACCACGCGGTCTAACCAACAGCATTCTCATTACTGTCGCAAGTAATTTATACGCGCAAATTCTTTCTCCATTTCCAATATGAGTCGAGTTAATTTGTGCTAGTAATACATTTGTTCGACTCTTTGCTGAGATGGGGATAGAACTACAGCAAAAGAAAGAAAGATAGAAAGTGATAAAAAGCATTTAGAATATTGTTTCTTTTTGCCTTTGAAAGTTTCATTGGACGCCTAAGCGATTTGGATTTTAGCGCTCTCATTAGTTGATTTCTTGTGGATTTAACATTGGCTTCCGTTTTATCTAACGCAATTGCAAAATAACCACAAAGATTTAATGTACCATTTTATTATTGCATGGCCCGCTTTTCTGCCTTGCACGAGCCGTGTGCACGACACGAATTCAATGTATGGTTTTGGCTATTTGCTGTCAGAAAATGAAAACGCCATGCAAAATCGAGAAAGAGAGTGCGTTATTCAAGTAGTGCGCCATTAAACACTGAAACTTTTACAGTTTTTTCCTCGTTTTTTTAATGAGTGTGTTAAAAAGCAAACTAACTGGCTAACAAGATGCTAGCGAACGATGCTGAATGCATGCATTTTAATAATTATTTTTTTATATGACATACGATTTTCTTTATTTTCTCTGTCTCGCACTCTACAGTGTCAACATGTCAAGAACAACCAACTCCAATACCACCATTAACTTTACAACTCGAAGGATTGAAACTGGGTCAGCGAGTACTGTATTCATGTCCAGTTGGTTATTCCATTCAAGGCATATCAAATGCAACTTGCTTAGCATCTGGTAAATATTATTTACATTTATCATGCATGCATAAAACATATGTATTTCAATAATTTCAATCGATAAAATGTGTAGTTTTATGTTATGGAATACACATACACATGCAATTCTATTAAAATAGGCTTTAACTTTAAATAACTATATATTATAAAATATGCATTTTATTTAATTGAATTGTTAGGCAATTGGTCATCACCGCCACCAACGTGCAATCCAATTCAATGTCCGTCGCTATTTCTCGAAGATCCTCATTTAAGTTTAACCGAGCTAAATACATCAGCATGGGGCAAAGCCGTTTTCAAATGTTCATGGGGCTATCGTTTAAGTGGTCCGCCAAGTTTGGAGTGTGAATCAAGCGGTTCATGGAGCGGTCCAGTACCACGTTGCAGAGGTAAGAGCACGTTTTAACACAAGTGGATGACGAAACAAAAAAAATAAAATAAAATAAAATAATAGAGTAAAAGAATATATAGACAATTTGAGGTTTTTAAGCACGTATAATGTAATAAATGTTGTTGAATCCTTATTAGCAATTCAATGTGCTCCACCACTTATACCAATAAATGGTCGGATCGACGGAGCGAGCGTATCAGCGAACCATCGAAAGTATTCGGTTGGCGCTTTGGTGACATTTAGCTGTAATGAAGGGCATTTACTCGTTGGCGAAGCCAGTATCGTTTGCACAGAAAGTGGATTTTACTCGTCACCACCACCGTTCTGTGAGTAATATTTTTGTTTATTTCGAGTTTGATACTCGGCATGAGCGTGTGTGTATTTGTATGTGCGCGTGCGATAGAGATATAGATAGTAGAAAAAATGAGAAGAAATTTTGCATTGGATCACAATACATGAAAAACTCAAGCACATACACTGTACACCATATGATACATTCAATTAAATTTTATTTAATATGCATATGAAGCCATTTCCATATCGATTTAATTAATCGAAATAATGAACAGAACCCGGCAAAATGTGACATCGGTTCAGTGTCAGTGTGTTTTACTGCACCGTGTGTTATTTCGTTATTCGCGCATTTTCGTGTGCATGGACTCCAGAAAAATTGACTACATTCTTTTTCTATCAGCGGCCGCCATGAAAACCTGGCACAAAAATAGACGATACATAGAGAGTGAGAGCGACACAGAAAAACACGCATATCATCTCTTCATTTAAATGCGAATATCGCGCGTTTTATACTGTGTTTGGCACATAAGCATTCGCAGATTTTAAATTATTGCCACTCAGCGTCCAGCGCAAATTTTTAAGCTCTTTACGGCCATAAAGTTGAATTTTAATGGTATCTCATAATTTATATTTAATGAAACTTGATGTAATATTCACGAAATTGCCCTGATTCGATTAAATTTAATGCATAAAACATTCTTTAGAATAAAAGCTTTTCAGGCTGTGTGTGCTGAATTCTTTTTTTAATTTTCTAGCTTAATTGTTGAAAACTTTATCGAAGGGAAAGTGATGCAGTGTTGCAAAAAAAGAGGAAATATAGAAAATCTAAGATATCAAACACTGTATTGAAACAATGCTAATAATAACAATATTATTGCATAGCATTCGATGAGTGAGTGTGGTTATAATGCAAGTCGCATAATGACGTGTTTATGCTTACTCTCTCTTTCTATTTATCATTGCGGAAATTATTTTGTGTGAATCTCATATACAACAAGAAATTGAACGTGATTTTCTCGTGTTTTGAGTTTGGAATTTTAATTTTACTGCCTGCACACATTTATTTGATGTTCGAATCACATATACGACATAACGTATTTATGATTAATTATTCGGCACAGTATCCATGCCATTGTGCATCCAATATAATTGTATTTGTTTCATATATGCGGTTATATTTGACAACAGTTTTTGGGACTTCGTTTTTGTATGTAATTGGTTTGGGAATTCATTATTGTCTACATAAATTTTATTCACTTTTCGAAATCATCGCACGAATACAATAAAAACAACGACGACAATGATGATGAAAAAAGACATGAGAAACCTATACACCGATAATGTTACCGTCTCAGCAAGTTATTGAAGTTGCAGAATTTTTAATGGATGTGCTGAAAAACTTTTATTTGAATATATTTTCGACGGTTTATTTACATTTAAATTGTGCTTCTCTTTCTTTTCACAACAAAAAGGCAAAAGTCAATGCCCGTATCCGGGAGATCCCCCGAATGGTTTGATAGCACCACTCAAATTTCACTATGATCCTGGCGATTATTTGAGCGTTCAATGTCGACCCGGTTTTGTTGAATATGGTACAAACACAAATGGACCACCCGAAAGACCGAGGTAAGTCTGAATTCCACTAAAACAAATGTTAAAACAAACATCAGAAGTCTGGCATTCGAGGCAGTTTCCGTGACGATTTTATTACCGCTTTTTAGATGTTTGCCGGATGGTAATTGGTCGGGTCCAGTTCCACAATGCCGTAACTACGAAGAAGTCTAATCTAAATAAAACCTACAATCCGATGCAAAACAGAAAGTTTATCTCTCAATAAACACAGATTATCCAATTTTCCTCTAACATTTTACAAATTTAAAATCCCAATTGTTTATAATTATTAAGAAAAAAAATATTTAAATGAAAACAACAACAAAAAAAAGAATATTCTAATTATATCAATTGAAAGATAGATTAGCTGATAACCCAACTACAAAAAGCTGAAAATACAAAAAAAAAAAACATTCCATTAGTTGGATTTGTTTGATCTCGTATCAATTTTACAAGAATTTGCATTCCAATGTAACATATATATAAAGACGAAAATATCAAATCAAAGTATTAATTTTAATACAATGTAAGCATATCAAAGGAAATGAAAATCAAACGGACAAATGTTTGGAACGAAGAATATAAATACGAGTATGAAAGAGAAACAAAATAGACATAGATTGAAAAATAGACAAAGCTAAAAAAAAAGTTTTATCAAATGTTTTGCAAACGAAGTCGTAACACACACTGTGCATCATATGGTGGCACGGTGAGACAGAGCGAGAGCAAAAATGGAGTGAAGTATACATAGTTTTTCAATGAGAATAGTTTATGTATTGTACATAAGTGCATGAGCAATATATTTTCTTCTTCTTGGTCAATCCAATTTTATCATGACAATTATTAGTTTTAAAAGTCCAATGATATCTTTAACAACAACAACAAATTATTAAATACAATATTCGCTGTTCAATCAATAGATTAGTTTCGATCGAAAGTATTTTGGGATCGAGCCATTTCTTGAGCTAAAAGTGACAGCGAATTTGTTGTTTGGCACAACTATGTGAAAGATTAAGAGCAACAACGATAATAACTGAAACAGCAACTGCAGTACACACAATTTCATTTTCGTTTTTGCGTTCATTTAATGGCAACAAGTAATGTAACACGTGTAATGATTTTTAGTGGCAATAAAATACTGAAGTTTCAAGAACAAACCAAATAACCAGTAGTTTTACTTGAATTTCATTCAGTTCATTCGGCTGAAACGCATATTGCGACTATGATGACGGTCTGTGGCACCAAACGATGAAACGGTGTCGAATGGAGCGACAGCAACAATAACAGTGTTGAAAACGACAATCGACTTTTTTTCACTCTCGGCTTGATGTTTTTCAACATCAGTATAAAGTCGAGAAAAGAGTCGAAAGACTACTAGCATATCGAAAAATGTGCGCTGATTCAAAGGTAAGTGAGGATTTTTTTTCTTGAACGCAGACATAAAATCGTACGATGTCATAGAGCGACTAATTGCATTGAATATACTAAATAACGGGAAAAATGTGCACAGCATCTACACACTACAGTGCATAACAATACTTTGGTGCTCATGCATAATAAGAAATGTTGTAATAATAACAACAACAATAAAAGGACAACGAAAACGACGACGACGACGACGACGACGACAAACATCAAGTCTCGCCACTCGAACTCAGTTCAACACATAAAATATTCAGCCGCACTGCAGAACATTTCATAGACACTTCATTCAGTGTTTGTCATTCGTATATTGAAGTGTGTTTTAAATAAATTAGCTCTATATTTTGTCTTTCATTGAAAACGGCATATATGTATTTGTTGAGAAATTTTGCTTATTAAAATTCTAATTTAATTTGCTACATATTGACATTCTGTTGGAATTTATTTTACATTTTCGTCAAACGTCTTTTCACATAAAATTAAAAAAAAAAAAAAATAAGAAATACACATTGAAAGAGAAAATCATGGCCTGTGACATAATTACCGAAAGTCTAATAAAAGGGATCATAGTGGCCAGTTCAAGAACGGGTATCAAGTTGGAGCAAATTGCAAGTACGTATCACGATTATAAAATGAATTACGCTGAATTATAAAAAGAAAAAGTGAGAACGAATAATTCCAAACTGGATATACATATATATATATATATATATA